AACCATCACCAATCATATTATCACAGGGTCAATAATGGGAAAGCTGTGTTGTGCAGTTGTGATCCTTAATTTGGAGAGAAGATTTAGCCCAATTAAGAGGCTCTTTGTTTTGCTATGAACAATACATTGTTTACTTTTAAAGTTTAATTTCCAATGTGAAAAACAGGGAAAAGAAAAACTATATTTATAATGTTACTCATGTGTATTACCTTCAAACTATACCAGTATTAAATACCCTTCACTTTTTCGGGATTTTACTGCTTATCTGTATATTTCTGATGCTGCATGTTCGGAATAATTCAGTCTCTCCATGCAATTTTTAATGCAGATTTTGTTTCTATAATGAAGAATATATGGTTACTAAATACTGCTCAAAGCACAGTTGATCAATTGAACAGACCCCATTTTTCTAATTCTTTTCATGATTGAATATAAATGTTCTTTAGGTTTAAGGCAAAAAAAAAAAATTCTCTCATCCACTTGTATTTCAGTGTGCCAGCAAAGTGAATGGAGGGAGGTACGGAACCACCAAAGACTATCCCGATGATGCCATCCGGTTTGCAAGAGGCCATCCACTTATGTACCAGCCCATAAAACCTGCCCATAAAAAACCCATACTGGTAAAAACAGATGGAAAATATAACCTGAAACAAATAGCAGTGGATCGAGTGGAAGCTGAGGATGGTCAATATGATGTCTTGTTTATTGGGACAGGTAAAGAGATTGGACAGTACTCAGAGACATTTATATTGAACCTTACAATCAGTAGCATTATTACCTTAAAAAAAACACTGCCTACCAACAGAACTCCTGTTGGTCCATTGGCTCATTTATGTACTACATGTCCACTGCAGTGGAAGAGAGCATTGGGGGCAGTTACAGCACGTAATTCCTGATACGTCGTCAATACTTAATACGTTTAACAAATGAGTATGTGAAGGAGCGAATAACTGATGTTAATAAGAAATGAATAAACAGTGTTGGTTCCAAACAGAACGTACAGAGGAAGGATGGAGTCATAGCAAGGACTGTTCTCGGTTATTCCCCTCCCCAGGTCCATTGCCACCTTTGGCTGCTCAGTAAGGTCTCAAGATTTTTCAGTCTTCATGTGAAGTTTACATATTTTTACCTAAATCTCTAATCACAACGGTACTTAGCTGGCCCCATCAGAAATCACCCATCTGTACCAAACAGGCCAGGTGTTACCCGAAATGGAGATAAACTTTTAGATCAAAGCTGTGATATCCTGCATTAATAAAACAAAGTGTAATAAATATGCTAAAAGTAAAATTTTTGGTAAATCTGTAATTTCAGTTAGTGCCATACATTAGATCTAGCTTGTGGAAGAGAACTTGGAATTTTTTAAGCATCCAGGGTAATGTGTATCACATTCTGTCAAGTACTTTAAAATTATATAGTCATTTAAAAAGTCTTTGAAATGGTCATTTTTTTAATATGCGTCGTAGTAATTGCTATAGCAGTTACTGTTTAGAAGAGTAAGCATTCCACCATACATAACTTTAATCATAGACCTATAATTCTACAGACATTGCATTTGCCCAAATCAGGAGTTAGGGTATAGTATTAATATTGGTGCTTGAGCTTTTCCAGTCATACTTTTGGAAAAAGCACAGATTTAAGTAAGGAAATATTCATCTGATTTCTAGAAATTGATCTCTGGTGCAGGCTATATTTTATTCAGTTATTTTAGGAGGTTAGTAATATGCACTGCACTTTGGGTTCAAGATTAACAAAGTGTAACATTTCTTTAGCAGAGCTAAAATTACCTGGCCATGAATTCACTTACAGTGACATCCAACAGAGTTTTTTTTTTAAAAAAAAAAAAAAGGATTCCATAAGCAAGAGTAATATTTTATAAAATTACTCATAGAAAAAAATTGTTAGTTTTAAATGCCCTGGAAGGTACAAGTCATATATAAACATCCAAGAATGTTTTCAGAAATACTTTTTTTGTTAGATTGACCATAACTACTTGAGAGAATTCCAGAAATATCAGGTATATACTTAGGCTCTTGTGTAACCTATGTTTAACTTAAAGATATCATCATACTGAACCATAACTTTTCAGCGTAAAAGAACATATTTGATGAATGTGTGATGAGTACAACTTCAGAAAACCCCACAAATGATTGTTATTTTTCCCCAGATTTACCAGACACATACTTTAGTACCATATGTAATAGCCCTTATTGCAAAATCACTAGTTGGAAATTGATAATTTGAGTTTCAGCTTTACTTTTTACTTGATTTAATAATTGTGGGATATTTATAATGTGTGCTTGGTATAATAATTTTTATTCCTTTTAGTGTATGATACAGGTAATTGTTGTTATTAATCACATTTTAATAACGCAACCACAAGGTTTCATAACTTTTTTAACAAATTGTTTAAATACCATAGAAACTCTTGGGTGAGAACCTGGTGCTTTTTTTCCCTTAAGTTGTTTCTAGCACTGTACCAAATTATCCTTACAGGCAAATTAAGTGTCTTACTAAATTTTCATTGGAAAGAACAAGCTCAGAATATCAGGAATAATAAAAATGATGTGGAATTTTAAAACGTGAATGTGAATTTATAAAATTATTGATAATTATGGAAGCTTAATGATTAGTACAGGAGGTCTTACATTACAGGTCCCTCAATAGTGTATACTAGAAATTTTGATTAAAAGTGTATATATATCCAGATTTGTGTATTACAAGTGTGTTTAACCAGATTTGTGGTTACTGGAGGTGAGGGATGGGAGAATTGGATGAAGGTTGTTAAAGGCACACACATCCGGGTATGAGATAAATAGGGACTAAGGATGTAATGTACACCACAATGTAATTAGCAGTGCTGTATGTTACATATTAAACTTTTTAAGGGAGTGAATCCTAAGGGTTCTCATCACAAGGGGACAAAATTTTCTTTTTATTTTGTGTGTATGAGATGACGAATAAGTTCAATAAACTTACTGTGGTAATTATTTCGTGATGTAAATCAACTCATTATGCTACACACTTTAAGCTTACTGAGTGCTGTATGTAAAATATTTCATTAAAACTGGAAGGAAAAAATAATATAGATATATTCTTTTTTTCTATCTTTCTGTCTATCTGCCTATCTGTATTTATGTATATAAAGATTTAAATAGAGTTTGTTTGAAAGATTCCCTAAGATTAAAGGTATAGTTTCTTTCAAGGAAGGTAGCTTTAGTAAAAAATTTTCTTTCATCGTGCATCACAGAAGAAGCTAGAATAATTTGGTATCTGTATTATATTTATTAATTCCTAAAGGCATTTTGATATCTGAACCTTTAACTGGAATTTTTAACAAATTATTGAAAAATAATTTATACTGTTTTGTCTTATTTTTTGCCAGGCATATAATTTTTTTGCCACTTGAAAATATGAATGTATAAGGAGTCATACTATTTTAACTAGTAATGATTAAATGTTTTGTATATCTAGATTTCAAATCTTATTTGAATTCATAGTCTATGACTTTTAATTGTTTGAAAACCAGATTGTGAGAAAGTTTCTGATATATCTTTCTTTGTTTTGTTATAGATAATGGAATTGTGCTGAAAGTAATCACTATTTACAACCAAGAAACAGAATCAATGGAAGAAGTAATTCTGGAAGAACTTCAGATATTCAAGGTAGTTTTAGTCAAAAAAAAAAAGGGCCAACATTTATGTGTTACAGACAATTGCAAGTGAGTAATAAATAGGAAAAACATGTCAGTTTTTTTTTCTAACAGATATGTTGTGAATTCAGAGTGAATTGAATAAAGATTTAAAATTCCATTCTGTGCATCTAGTTGATTGTTGTAGACTATTCAAATAAAGAGGCCAGTATTTACTTAGCATGACAAGAATTTCAAACTATGAACTGTGCCTTAAAGAAATAACACTTATACCACATAGAGATTCCAGAATCGTTACTGCAACGTCTCATCTTGAACAAATGAACTATCTATTTAGACAGTTAGAAAGTAGCAGTAGTTTCATATTGTGGACATTGTGGTGTGATAGGTATACTGCTCTTTTTGTTTATAGCATTCAGTTTTTTCAGAGAATTTACCAAAAAGAGAAAAATGCAGAAGGATAATGGAAAGATTAAACATGACAGAAACAATTGTATGTATACACACGCGCACATCAAGTCTGAGTATCTATGGTAGTTACGGTCTTTAACGTCACTGTGAACACTGAATTAGTAATGATTACTCCTAGAGGAATTACAGGGTTAGATTCCTGCGAGTCTCTAGTTGCAACATTTTTGTCAACTGATCAATACATAACCTTGTTTTATGTGTGTTTCTGTTTAAAGACATCTTATTTAGTATATATAGTTGATTAACATTAAACTATAACTCGTGCCTGAACGAAGCTTATTCATCACTTGTGTTTTCTTCATAAGGCACAGTGCAGCCTTTTGGAGCTTAGGGACACCAGCTGGCACGTCAGCACTAGGCTCGAGGACCATTTTAAACAGCAAAATCCCTAAGAATACAAAAATGTGGCACTGAATAGACCATGAAAAAGGATGCTTATTTATAACATGAGAGCAGAAGCAAGAAGGCAGAGTATCACCTTGACCGACCTTAGCTGGGAGCATGCACATTAGGCATCTCAGATTTTCTGCCATCCTGAGTATGCACATGTCTATGAATGACTGCAGAACACACAGCAAGTATTGGTATCGGGGTTGCAAAAAAGTGTAGCAAGTAACCAAATTTGCAAAAACACAATCTGCAGAAATGAAGATTTATCATATATGTAGGTAATGAATATATATGAACGTATTTTTATTGACTCTTCTGGAGATTAGATTCTTCATAGCTGCACCCAAAGTTAATCATGTTCCTGTCTCAACCGGAGCAGCTGTACTTTTGTTTATTTTGCATATTGGAGCTCTGTAAGATTTCATTTCACTTTAGGGATCATAGCTCTCATATTAACAGGATTCATCAGTGTCTTGTTCACATGAACCCTTAAGAAACAGTGTTGCCTGAGCAAATAAATGAAGGAATGCATGCAATAAAGGGTTCTGTAGTTTAAAATATTTTTTAAAAAATTAACACAGAGGAGCAAATTTTCTCTTTCAAAAAATAATTCTTTGAAGGGTAATTATCCAGAGTAGACTCACCAGCCCATTGCTTCTCCACTTACAGAACTGACTGAGCGTGTGGTGCTCCTAAGAGACACTCCCAGTGTTAATCACCCTCCCTGGAATTGCACATAGGCTCTCAAAACTGTGCTGTAGAGAGACCTGCCTCTGGTGCAGTTCCATGACAGTGAGGTTATGCATCTCATTCAAAGCATTCTGGGTTCATCATGATTGACCATGCTAACGCCAACAGAAAAGTATTTTGTTTGGGCCTGAGTTAAAACAATTAAAGATCACATGGCTTATTAGCAATAACACCTATTCAAAGACATAACTGTTTTACTTCTAATGGTTCAGCTTTCTTATAAGAAAGAACACTCTGACTGTATTATTTTATTTAAAGATATTTGAATTTCCAAAGCGTAAGTAATACTCAAATGCAAATACAGAAACCACATTTCAGAGACAAACTGTATGCTGCTTAGATTATCCATTATATTTCTCATCTACATTTTGTCCTATTCTGTTAGAAAATATTTTTTAAAAGAAAGCTATATTTAAATTTAACTATATTGTCCTATTGATTTACTAAAATGAAAGCTATAGGCTGCATGGTAGAGAACCACTCACATACCTAATGTGACTTCAGGTGATTTACAACCATACTAAGATATGTTTCTATATTTGAATTCTTAAAAAGGAAACTTATCTTTTTTATTTTTCAGGATCCAGTTCCTATTATTTCTATGGAGATTTCATCAAAGAGAGTAAGTTGTGTGTGTGTGTGTGTTTTCTATATATCAGTTAAGGTCAAAGGATAAAAAGCTTGTGTGCTTACATGTTAACAAGTCACTGTTTTATTCTGACAAATATATATAGCAATCTACATGTAGCAGATTTTTTCATTTTTTTATTTTTAAAAATGTAGACAGGAGTAGATTTACTTCTATGACTATGATAAAACATTGTTCTATGATTTTTTTTGCTAATATTCTTATAAAAATAATGGTAATACAAAAGAGTGTGCAGTCAAACGGATCTCCCTGCTGCTTTACTGGAGCCAGTTTCTGGTGTACGTTTCTCCAGAAGTGGCTATTACACATGTTGCCTAACATTTATTTATATATAACATTTTACATTTGGGCAAATGGAAACATGCAGTGTTCATTGTTCTGCTATTTCTACTTTTTACTTAACATATCTTACAGTTTATTTGACATCATTCTGTGTATATATGTACATCACTTTTCTAAATGTTAAATGTTAGTGTGCACTGTTGGTGGGAATGTAAATTGATGCAGCCATTATAGTAAACAGAATGGAGATTCCTCAAAAAGTTAAAAACGGAACTGCCATATGATCCAGCATTTGCACTTCTGAGTATTTATCCGACGGAAACAAAAACGCTAATTCAAAAATATATCTGCACCCCGTGTTCATTGAAGGATTATTTACAATAGCCAAAACAGGAAACAAACTAAGCATTCATCTGTGGATGACTGGATAAATATATTGTTTTATATATATCTATCTATATATATGTACATATGTATACACGTGCATAAACACACACAGTGGAATGTTTCTCAGCTGCAAAAGAGAAGGAAATCCTGCCATTTGCAACAACATGGGTGGATCTTGAGGGCATTAAGCTAAATGAAATAAGTCAGAGAAAGACAAATACCATATGATTGTACTTATGTGTAAGTAATAAAAACAGCAAAAACAAGCTCATAGATACAAAGAACAGATTGGTGGTTGCCAGAGACAGAAGGTGGGCAAAGTGGGTGAAGGTTCTCAAAAAGTACAAACTTTCAGTTATAAAATAGATAAGTCATGGCAATGTAATGTACAGTATGGTGGTTATAGTTTACATCACAAGAAAAAATTTTATAATGTGATGAGGGCTGTTAACTAGATTTACTGTGATCATGTCACAGTATACACAAATACTAAATAATTTTGATGTATGGCCAGAACTAATGTAATGTTATATATCAATTATATCTCAATTAAAATGCAAAAAATACCATTTACTTATCCTGTCTTCTATTGGACATCCCCATAGATCTTTTTAAAACTGTTAGATGACAAAAGAGTCTTTCTACTTAGATAACAAATAAAAAATTGTCAAATTCTTGAGGTTTTTGCCAGCTGCACTCTTACCAGTTCTGTTACTCATGTATCTGCGTCTATAAAAGTATTTCACATCTTGGAGAAATGAAAGTATTAATGTTCCGTTGTCTGTCCTGAGTAATCTTATTCATTTAAGTGAGTATTCACACAGGTGATTGTGTATGAATGTGCATATGAATCTAGGTGTAAGAGCCTGGTGAGAATTCTGTCCATTTCTGCCAGCGGCCTCTCTCTGCTTTGATGTCCACAGCAACAGCTGTATATTGGATCTGCCTCTGCCGTGGCCCAAGTCAGGTTCCATCAGTGTGACATGTACGGAAGTGCTTGTGCTGACTGCTGCCTGGCTCGAGACCCTTACTGTGCCTGGGATGGCATATCCTGTTCCCGGTATTACCCCACAGGCATCCATGCAAAAAGGTGAGACAGAGTCTTCAGTGGAATCTTTACCTTATTTAGAAAATCCTAACACTTTTTTTTTTTGGTCTCTTTCTTTCTGTACCCAGTCTATGAAAATAGCCATTTTATTTTTATTTAAATAAATCATCCTACTGCTATTTTGTTCATAATAGGAGCTTTGAAAACTCAACTTTTTCCCGAAAATAACCCCTATCAATTATTTTGTAGAGATCAGAGCTGCCCACGCTGCTGGAGATTTATTTTTCCTCCTGAGTTTGCATCAACTTTTCCCCATTCTGAAACTTTTGCTGTAAGAAGTGAAACCAGTTTAGAGAAACATAAAATGTGGAAATGGCAAGCCACCCCACACATGAGGAATTCAAAGACTTTAAAGGGAAAATAAATAAATAAGTTCTAAAGTACATCCTGCAGTTGCCCCATGTCCTCCTGACCAGCTGGTCTTCATTTATTTCATTTTGAAAGTGAATATTTTAACTCCTAGGCAAATGCATGACCTGTATAATTAATGAAATGTGTGATTTAATTCAACACAAATGAAAGGTACTTAAAGATCTCTAAACTCTAATATCTACAATTCAGCAAGGTCGTTGCCACTTATTAGAGATGGTAAATCCCAGGATTCTTTGAACAGGAGATCTTAAGGTACAGAAAGTATTTTGAAGAATAAGGGTCTTTCCTCACTAAAGTCGTAAGAAATTGTGCACTCTTTGGGTAAAAGATAAGGGGAAAATATTTTTTTATTGCAGAGTAAGCAGTTACTATTTTCTCTTGTGAAAATGACCAAAAATAACATAAAGCAAAAACATAGAACCATATATAGTTTCCCTACTGAAAAGCAATTTTTATTAATTTTATTTACTCTGGCTTTTTTGACTTTGGGTTTCTTTCCACATTTTCAAAATCTAATTTAACCCAGTTTGAAAGAGTTGTTATTTTTCTAAGTTCACATGCATAGTACAGTCTCATTTAAAAAATACTTAATCACTAATTCAGAACTTTTGTTAATTTGACTTTAGCTGAATTAATATCCCAATGAGTGTTTAAAGAAAGGATATAATAAGCAGATAGTAAAAAGAGGCTTTGAGAGGACATTTATGAACTAATTTACCAACTGTATTCAAGAATTGAGTGAGTTAATTCACTTTGTACAAATGCTTATTGATATTTGAAAGCAGTTCTTGGAGAACGTAGCCATGTTATTAGTTGAAACTATAGTTTAATGATTTATTCACTCATTAAACCAATTACTGTACTATGTTCAGGGGGTTTGAAGAGGCAGTCACAGTCCCCTGTCTGTAGGAAATCAACCTTAAGTGGAGAATGGAATTGTAAATAAGGATGGTGATAGCTTACCACTGTGTATGACGTACTGGACTAACTGCAATACACATAATTCATTATTTAGTGCTCAGAGTAACCTTTGAGCTCAGTCTTGAAGGTAGAGATACAAGGAGTTTCTAGTTAAATAGAATTAATTGTACAAAGGCATAGGTCTTCCGGGAAAACCATGTAGTTCCATAGGTTAGGAGTGAAGTAGCAAGATCTAAGGGCGGAAAGGTAATTTTATCAACAGATAATAAAATTAAAATTAATTATCCTCTTGTCACTAGCAGCAATAAAGATGTTTACAAACCTTGCATTAAATATTTAGAAATAATAAAATTTTGTATGAGGCTTGTAATAACGATGATGAATTTTAACTAAGCAACTGTTTCCATAGCTAAATATTTCTTGGTCTATGGTACATCTTGTAAGACTGTACATCCACAAGTTTGTAATACAGTATTTAAAAGAGTGGACAGAATATTACCTAGAAAAAGTTAAATGAATGGGCAAAATTATAGACAGGAAGAAGTGAGATGCTGGAGTCAGGAGCCATACTCCTAAATGAATTAGTCCAGTTCACTGACATGTAATGGAGATCTTTCAGTGGTGTCAGATTCTTTTGAACTATCACCCACCCCTGGAGGAGAACTTTTTGGATAAGTTTCAGCACATAAAGGGAACATAGTTTGCTTTTATAGCAGATCGTTTTTGCTTCCGACCTGACTAGCAGCAGAAATTAAAAACTGGTCATTAAAATAAATACTTCTCTGTTCACAGAGTGAAAATGAGACAACAGAAGAAAAACATTCATTCACAAACCAAACCACTTGTTTAAAATACTCTTCCAAAATACACTATAATTTATAGAGCTAGATCCTTTTCTTTCCCTTTCTCTTGTATTTTGCCTGTTTCCAGCATTCTCTTAAGTTTCCAAGAGGCAAGAGATACAAGAAAAATATGTGACTTTGAGAATAAAAGACAACTTTGCTTAACCTTTCTAAAACTCTTGATGTTAATACACTTTTTTAAATTCTGAAAGAAAGGAGAACTATATTAGGATAGTATAAAATGAACTGAAGCCTTGTTGGAAAATGTGATATCTTTCTTGTTAAATGCATGTTTCCAGTGATTTTCAACAAAGTGTTTGCACACTTATCCATAATGCTTATCTACCGTTATCTGATTGCAGTTCCTTTATTCTCACATCACCTGTGGAATAAACAAGATACATCACTTCTGCACAGTGGGAACTGTTTCCAGTTACATTGATTTACTCCTGCTCCATTATTCATGGTTGCTCAGTGGACGTGGGGTTCCCAATACCAAAGCAGTACTCAGTGAAGTGAATAATTAACAACAGCAGTTTAATTCCCATCTAGAGCTGCTATCGATTATATAATAGATGTACATGCTAGTATAAAATAATAAATAACCATAAAATTTTACTTTTGCTCCTTACTTTGTCAATTTCTATTTTCTATTTAGCTCAGTAGAATGATCTGTGTGGCAGTTTTAGTCTTAACTTTGTAAAATCTCAGGTCTCTAGGTAAGGTTTTCTAATCAAATATTTATTTTTAAAAAAACATGCTTTTGCATACAGGTGATAATCCTAAAAATTGACTGGAAATGTTCATCACCTCTTGCTTTCAATATAAGGAAATACTTTTAACAGTTGTTTAAGTATTGCGTTCCTAACTCAGATCTGAACCCATATGAGAGAAAGCCCTCCACCTCTTGAGATAACATTCCAGTATCATTATTTGGAGGCAGTGAGGAAAACCTAGAATTAAAAAAAAAAATGAGACTGGACTAGGCTTTAGAGATCAATTAGCTCAACTTTGCTTCATGAAGGAGGACACAAAAGACCAGGAGAGAGAAGAGCTACGTATCAGGCCATGAAGCACGTGAGGGGTGCCACTGGGGTTTCAGTGTGGTTTCCTTTTCCAGATTTGATCATTGCATGTCGTTAAAGCATCTCTTTGTCGCTTGGGAAGCCTCACCACCCACCTCTGGGGTAAAACTTCTGCTTTGCCTTCTGTTTTTCCCTCAGTCTTGAGGCAATGCCATGATTTAGAGAAGCAAGTGATATTTTCTGCCTTTATGTAATACTTCTATTTTTATCTCTAATCTTAATTAATATGCTGAAGGTCTTCATTTTAGCATTTCAGTACTAATAGTGACAATTTCCATTGTTTAATTCCTGAAAAAGATGCTTACAAATTTAAAACATATTTTACATTCTGGAATTCTTTTTCCGTGGATAAAGAATATTGTCATTTTTCAGTTATATGCTTAAGTACACTATAAAACATGCAAATATACTACAAGTGATCCTAATAGGTAAATTAAGGGAAAGTGCAGGATTTCTTGGCTTTCACTATAGGCAGGACATCCTGTTAAATATGTATAATACACTGTCACATTCAGTCAATAGAGGAATATGATTTCTAAATGTTACAAACGAGTAAAAGTAAATTCAGCATATATTTTATTAGCAATCATATTGAGCACAATGGTTATAAATCAAAATATTTGAATCCAAATATCTTTACTTATATACACTTTAATACATATAGGAATTTCGCATTTTTTACTCAAATAGTCTGCCTCAAACCCCACTGTTTTTCTTTGCACACATCCCTTACCACCCAAAGCACTCATTTCAAGCTAGAAGACTTCTTGTTGAATTAAAATCTGAACAAAATATAAAGAAAACTTTCTTCAATTGTTGTTTCAGGATCCATTAGTCAAACTCCTGTGCCTATTTAAAGAACAGTTTTATATAGATCTTATCCATTGAATAGCATTCATTGGAAATACAGAAAACTATGAAACTTGAATTTTATCCTTGTTTTGTAGGACTGATCCATTTTTTCAGTAGCAGAATACTACTTGAAACTTTCATGCAGTTAGCTATGTTTTAAAGTCTGGAAAATTGAAGTCTAAACAACTCCTAAATGCATTTACTTTCTTCCAGGCGGTTCCGCAGACAAGATGTTCGGCACGGAAATGCAGCTCAGCAGTGCTTTGGACAGCAGTTTGTCGGTAATCCATAGAAAATCGATTGCCATGGGTTACTTCGAGTGTGCATTGAAGATAAACTGCAAACTTCTTAAAAGGGCCCTTGTTTTCTTTGTGATTGATATATGTGAGAACAACGTTGCTGAAAGTATTCTCTCTTTTTCCATATAGTTAACACTTTGTGGATTTGGCATGTAATTTTTCTTCATTAGGAAAGTGTTTTATGTACCCACCAAGCTTTATTGTTAGACCTCAAAAAGGGAAATCCTAGAACAAGAATGCTGCCTACTTTAGCTGGCAATGCCACTGTGATTTGCAGGATTTTTCTCTTCGGCTGAACCCTGGGTATAACTTCACCACATTTTATAACTTACAGTGATTTTATCAAGAGTGATCTAACTTATATCAAGTCAAGCTTTGGATAGAATAATGTGAAAAAGTTGGGGGTTTTTTTGATACTTTTACTGGAATAGAGTCAGCCTAGAGCTGGGCTTAGTGGTACCAACGTGGGTTTCTGAGGAAAGGTGGTAGGTGGTCTCATGGGTAAAGGATGAGAGAAAATTTCAGCTTTAGGCAAATGTACAGAAGACAAGACAAAAAACACTGTCCTGACTCTTTGCACCATGACAGTGGATGGCGCACAGGCTGTTGGTTTTACCAAGAAGTGACAGGATAAAGGGGTACCATGACTGGGAGAACAGAGATGCTTAGACTCAAATCCAGACATTGTGGTCCAGCATCAGTTTGCTAGACCTCAGGCTGGTCCAGGATGTTGTGCAGGATGTAAGCCTCTGAGAACGTTGACTAGAGAAAGGCAGGACATAATCTTAGGGAAACTTGGAGGTCCATTTTGAAGGCAAGGAGGGCGCAGGGATAGGAAAACAATCCTGGGATCTAATTACTGAATTTTATCTTTGTTAAAACAACAAAAAATAAATCCTTCTGCTTTTATTCCCTGCTGCAGTTAGGTGTACTTGCCTGTATGCAAATTTGAGTTCAAGTCCAGTGAGAAACTTTCTGGGCCAAGATACAGATTATAATCAAGAAGCTCTGGTTCGTGAAGTCCTCACTTCAGTCTCTAGCCTTTGCTTACTGCAGGAGCCCAATATCTGGCTAAGTGCCGTCCACTGTTGAGATCTCTCTCATGCTCGCGTTAATGTGGTGCCACGTCACCTTGGTTTCTGCTCTCTGCTTTTGTTTGCGGCCATGGATTTAGTCCAATGCCTGGCTTGCTTGTTTGGTGCCCAACTCCTCTGGCTCCTTTATCAATGGATATTGCCACTGATTTCCCATGAACTTAACACCGATACACATTCTTAACCGTTCTGACTGTCCCATCCTTTGGAACTATAGTCCCAGTTACGTCTTCCTGTCTTACCCCATAGCCTGCTGTGCTTTTTTAATGCCTAGATTTTAGTATATGACTTTCTCTCAAGAACTCAAGTAAATGACCTTTTATAGAAATTAGCCATAAGTCATCAAATTTGTTCACTTTGCTGTAGGGGTCTGAATGAAGACTCTCTTTAAAAATAGGATTTGCTGGTAAAATCAGAGTCTCAAGGCTGCTGTTAACATTTATGTTATAGGGGATGCTTTGGATAAGACTGAAGAGCGATTGGCCTATGGCATAGAGAACAACAGTACTTTGCTGGAATGTACCCCGCGGTCTTTACAAGCAAAAGTTATTTGGTTTGTGCAGAAAGGACGTGACACAAGGAAAGAAGAGGTAATTCCCTAGCTGCACATTTACACCACGGTTTCTTGCATATAGCATGTGATTAGTCAATAGATGGTGATTTATTTGGGTACTTAAAAATTAAACAGTCTGTTCTGCACATATCATTTTAAAAGTGGGTTTATTTATGTGTGATTTATATACATAACAAAGATTTTCAGATAGATTTTTTAAATAGATCATTATATATATCTGTAGTTATTTACATATGTAAATAAATTGCAAATATGTATATATAATTTGGATCCTAGAAATTAGATTTTTGCTTAAGAGATATTCATTGTGCCATGTTAGTGTCATGTTGTCAAAATGATAGTCTTATATTGCCCAAGACATGTTTTAGAAAAATAGACTTAACCAGCATTAACACATACCTTAGAAAGATAGATAGTAGTATTAAAACACCACAGCAACAACATTAAGCCAGTTGTTCATAAGGCTTTTGTATTAACACATGTATGAGGCATCAGAGGTTCCGCTGTTGTCCACTGGGAACAGAAGAAAGGCATCAGCTCTTTCATCCTTCTAAGCGGGTTTGGTGGTGGAGATTGTATTTCTGTAGTTATCTAAATAATGAGAGAGGATCGAGTCGGGCTGCTTTTACCAATGGAAGGATAGGCAGCATTTAAAGCACACGTGTGGAATAGTCTGGAGGCCATGACCAGATGGGTGAATGCAGGTCTAGGGAACTGGTTGTATGCAGGGAGAGGTCAAGGGTGTGAAGCAGGCAGGGGGGGCAGGAAAGCATTGTCAATGTTGATGTGTGCTTTGAACTCAATTTTTACAAAAATAGAAAGTAGAAGAAAATTTGGTTGTATTAAAGGGAGATAGATCTTGGAGAATATTGGGGAAATGGTCCTTAGTAAAGAGAAGAGTATAAGTAAAGAGAATAAGGATAAGAAATTTTAGAGACATGTTTTAGGACACAGAGGAGAGCTCGTAGGTACACATCAGATTGTAAGTCATGGAAGTCTCCACCCCTTGGCACTGGAGACCAAACGTGTGTCATTGGAAGTCTGAATGATTGGTTCCAAATGTAAAGCACATGACATTTTCTGCCTTTTTTTCCTTGGCCTAATGTGAAACTAAAAATCCAACCTGTTTTTGGTCCAAATCATACAGTACGTTCTGGGAGGTGACTCTATTTGTAAATCCCAGGTACCTAGGATAGCCATTAGAGAGGAAGGGACCTAAACTTAAAAAAGGCTGTTAGAGTTAGTATTAGAGGTAATATAGAAAGGCAATCAGGAAAGAAAAATTCTCCTAAGTTTTCATGACATCATCAGAATAAACACGTGTCCAAAACTGTTACAGCATATTGCACTAAAATAAATTTTGATTTAGGACTAAAGTATTTTCCATTCCATAAATCCAAGGTAAAACTGGTTTTTAAATTCCATCATAATTCACTTGGCAGGAGATGACCTGGGAATATTCTGTTATTCCTCCAGTTGAGTGGCTTCAGAAGACAGAGAAGTAATTCTTTCAACAGTAGTTTCCTTCACTCAGTCTATTCTGTTTCTAATCTGGAACTCAATGTAATCTGTATCATTTGGAAATCTTTACCAAATCACTTTAGCATGCTGCATCCATCAATGTTCAGCTTTAAGTTTCTTCTTCATATTGTTAATATGATCTACTTCTTCTTCCCCACATTTTAGGCCCATTTTCATCTACATTCAGATTTCCCTGACTGATGTTTTTACTGATATTTGAAATCTGAATATACTCTCTGCACTGAAAGTTATGTCATAATTAAGTAGTGCTTGGTTTCTATAGATACAACTTTGTATATGTACATACGTATTTTATATATATGGGTTTAAGTATACATGTACATATATAAATATTCATGTAGATTTATTAAAATCTAAACCAAAAGGCAAAATTGCTGACTTCATCAAAAGCTAAACATGCATGCTGAGTGCATGAAGCAGAATGACTTTACCTGTATGTTCTTTCAGAGTTTTATAGAGTCTGTTTTGAGTCTTTTTTTGACTCATTTTTACATTTATTGTAGTCACTGTAAGACATATAAGATAATTTTATTATTAAATCTTGACCACTGTAAAGGATGTTTTAGTACCTGGTCCAATTCTTACCTTGTGTGGGAATGTTTTTTAGAATATCCTTGACTGTGTCCATCAAGACTCGTCATGGACACTACAAGCCACAGTCAGACCAGAGTCTTTGGAAAAAAATTTAATCATCATATCCTTTTATTAAGCTGAAATTTTTGAGTCTGGAGCTGCTTAGAAATTCACAGTCAACTTTATCAAGTTATCCAGAAACCACATGTTCAGGTGGATAACATTTTTGCTCAAATAAACCTTAAGAAATGCTCCCTGACTAAATTTCTAGAAAGCAGCTAGCAATTCAGTTATCTGGTTTCTAAACTGGATCACTGCGGTTCTCTCAAATGTGTACTTTATAGTCTGCTTCCTTACATAACACGTATGAGATGTCATCTCTATACATTTTATTAATTCCATGAATGTTATGGAAAGCCTAATTAATGAGCACTTCTTACGGAAGCGTTTTACCTTGGCTTGAAGACCTGGTTCCTTATGATGTGGGTCAGTTATTATGATGTCCTGAGGGAAGAGACTTAATAGAAAAGAGTTGGTAGATAAGGCTGTCCTTTAACGTGCATCTCCTGCACACAAGACCTGTGGTAGGCGCCTTCCCTTCTTCTTGGATCTCACAACTGTATCTTAGGCATAATAATCTTCATCATACAAATGCACAGACTCAAACTCAGAGGGGTATACCTCTTAAACAAAGTCAGCGACAGACCCAAGGTTTGAGCTCAGGTCTCCTGACTCCAGAACTGAGTTGCTTCATGTTTATTCATCATCCAAGTAACTAGGAATTTGCTCTATGCAGTTTATAAAATGTACTGTTTTATTCTAAAAAGTATTCATGGATGAAATAATTGAAGCACAGAATGTTTAATTGCTTTCTTGGTTACTCACAGCTAGTTAAATAGATTCAAATCCACGTCTCTTAGCTCTTTCTACTACATCACACAATCTGAAATCAGAATCCTGGGTACAGTTTCATGTGCTCTGAGACAGAGCATGAAGCAAATGCAAAGCAGTTCACTACAGAAGTTCTGGAATTTGATTTCTGGAGAATGCTCCTAATACCGTGTGTGTGTGTGTGTGTGCGTGTGTGTGTGTGTGTGTGCGCGCGTGTGTTTCAGTCAGAGTTTAGTGATATCGTGTGTGTGTGTGTGTTTCCATGAGAGTTTAGCAGAGCTTGCCACTGCAGCTTTCATGGCAGAGGCACTGCTTCTCATGTTTAGATGTCTGAGAAACTGCCAATAATTTGTTGAACACTTCCCACTGATACCAGGAATCATTATTACACAGTACATATATCAGTGCATTTCCATTGTCAGATTGCCCTTTCAGCCTTCTACTCTGTCAGTTGGTAGCAGAAGGGTTCTGCATGGAAATAAGTGTGCTTTCTTAGTTGAGCCTATGTAGATATCAACCTCAGAGTACTCTACCTCGTTTTTTAACTAAAATAATGCTTTGTTCATTTATTTGCTACTTAATGAGCATCTACTATGTCCTGCTTGCATAGAACTTGTACTCTGGAGAACAGAGAAAGACATAATAATAATATGACTACATAAGAACATTAATATATTAAAGATGATAAGGAGAATACAAGAGAGATTACTTGCAGAGAAAGATGGCAATTTTACATAGATGGTCTCACTAAGAAGTTCGCCAACAACTGACATTTGGAAATGACTTGAAAGGTCACTCAGAGCCTACTTTAATAGGTGATGAACAAATCACAGCCTTAGCCCTTTTGAAGCCTACAGTCTTTTTATTTTAAGTATTTCTTTTCTTTTTTTGTATATTTATTTATTTATTGAAGTATAGTCAGTTTACATTGTTGTGTCAATTTCTGGTGTACAGCATAAAGTTTCAGTCATACATGAACATAGATACATTTTTTCATACTCTTTTTCATCATAAAGTAGTATAAGATACTGAATATAGTTTCTTGTGCTATACAGTATGAACTTGTTTATCTATTTTACGTATATTAGTATTTGCAAATGTTGAACTCCCAATTTATCCTTTCCTACCCACTTCCGCACCTGGTAACCATAAGTTTGTTTTCTGTGTCTGAATCTGTTTCTTTTTCATAAATGAGTTCATTTTGTCTTTTTTTTTAAGATTCCACATATAAGTGATATGATACGGTATTTTTCTTTCTCTTTCTGGCTAACTTCACTTAGAATGACATTCTCCAGGTCCCTCCATGTTGCTGCAAATGGCATTATTTTATTATTTTTTATGGCTGAGTAGTATTCCATTGTATAAATATACCACAGCTTCTTTATCCAGTCATAAGTTGATGGACATTTAGGTTGTTTCCATGTCTTGGTTATTGTAAATAGTGCTGCTGTGAACATTAGGGTGCATGTATCTTTTTGAATTAAGGCTCCTTCTGGGTATGTGCCTAGGAATGGGATTGCTGGATCATATGCTAAGTCTATTTTTAGTCTTTTGAGGAATCTCCATACTGTTTTCCATAATGGCTGCACCAAACTACATTCCCACCAGCAGCGTAAGAGGGTTTCCTTTCTCCACAGCCTCTCCAGCACTTACTGTTTGTGAACTTTTGAATGATGGTCATTCTGACTGGTGTGAGGTGATACCTCATTGTAGTTTTGATTTGCATTTCTCTGATAATTAGCAATACTGAGCATTTTTTCATGTGCCTATTGGCCATTTGTATGTCTTCACTGGAGAATTGCTTGTTTAGGTCTTCTGCCCATTTTTGGATTGGGTTGTTTGTTTTTTTCTTATTAAGTTGTATGAGCTGCTTATATATTCTGGAGATCAAGCCTTTGTCGGTTTCATTTGCAAAATTTTTTTCCCATTCCGTAAGTTGTCTTTTTGTTTTACTTATGGTTTCCTTTGCTGTGCAGAAGCTTGTAATTTTCATGAGGTACCATTTGTTTA